CCCAAGTCTTTCTCCTCACTGCTGTTCACGATTACTTGCCCACCCAGCCTGTAGGTGTGCCTGGGAATAAGGCAATACCTTGAAGAATTGCAAAGCAGCCACAGAATCCAGTTCAAGTTACACCATGAGGCCTGAAAGGCACTGAGAACTGTACTTCATTTCTGCTACCTATAAGGATATGGCAATGGGTGATGCCAGTTGGCTTGGAAATATTTTTAAGTTATAGTAGTGATTATTTATGAAATGCTTCTGAGACCTTCCTATGAAAGGTACTGCTTATGTTTTACTCTAATGGTTTTGGCTAAGTGTCTTTCAGAGAGGCAGTTTATTGGTTTTGTCCAAAACAGATGGAATCCCTTCACACTATGTATATGAGCACTGGAAAATATGAAAGGAACTGAAGACATTCTATGGGATTTGACATGGTCCAAGAGTGATTACAAATTTATAATCCATTTGGGGACTTTGCTGATTTCTTAAGCAGCTTGAGTGGTTTATGAACAGCATGCAATTTCATTGTGAATGTCAGATTAATCCTAGATGAATGCTTTAAGCAAAATTTATGCCGTCTTGGGTCAATTTATTTAACCCATTGAAATGTTTTTATACTCTGTTTTATGGTTTACATTACTAACTCCACTATATCCATTCCCTTTCCTGACAGGTTGACAATATACCCATTAAATTAAACACTGCAGCTATTCTGAGGGAGGGAGCCCTCTATCAGCGCCAAGTGGAACAGGAGATCAAGAGGTATGACCATGCTCCTTCCTCCAGTTACTTGTCACAGCCCTGGATATGGGATCATTGCCCACATTAACAATAAAGTAAATTCCAGGTAAACTAAACTAATAGATCTGTGGTAAGGCATTAGGAAGCTGTTCTATAAAGATGGTTGACAAATAAAGGGAGAAGTGGATTGGAAAAAACAGTCTACATTAAAGCAATTGTTTTCCTGTAGATGCTGTACAGAGTGACTGTGTTCTGCTTTAGCACTCTGGTTAGTGTCCACTTGCAAGCCCCAACAGGATCACTTTTATATTTATTCCAATTCTCCAGAATAAAGAATGACCCAAATCCACATCTATTTTCTGTGTCCTTCATAAAAGATGCAGGTGTATCAAACCGAAGAATTTCATAGATCTCCATTTTCTTCAATGGTTGTGGTCAACTAAATGCCAAGTTTGATACTTGAATTTTTTTATATGTATATAAAAATACCTGCCCATTCCTATCACAGTAAGATGTAGTAGACTAAGAATGTGCTGCTCCTTAAGGCAAGATAAGCCAGGAGGGTGACAGCTGAGGGAAGGCATGTAGGGACAGTGTCCTCACTGGCAGCAGCTCAGTTCCATTGCACCCTGGCAAGGCAGCAGAGCAGATCCAGTGATAGAGAGTAGGGTCAGCCAACGGTCCAGTGATTGCTAGATGAGTCCAAAGTGATGACTCAGGGCTGAGGTCAAGCCAGGAAGCCAAGTTAACAAGGCAGGGTCAACAAGGTACTAGGCTGGGTGCAGGCATAACTACAGCATAGCTTAGGCAAGGGCAAAGGCTGTTAACGTCAGCTTAAATGTGTCTGCCAGGAAGAAACTCTACACACACCCCCCCCAGGAATTTTCATAGCTCTTCCTCACACTGTTCTTTTCTCTACAGTCTGATCCGATGTTCCACAGTCACACTGCAACAGAGCTGTCTGTGAACACCAGCACTAAACCCTGGGTGGGGAATAAGAGGTTGCAGGTCCTTTTGGTGTGCTTGGGGCTCTAAGAGGTTCTGACTTAAGGATTCCTCTGACATAAGGAATCCTTATTCAGCAGCACAGGTTTTCAGAGGACGTTAACTAGGGAGAGGGTGATTCCTGGATAGCCACTGCAGGTTGTATTCTGCAACTAGAATTACAGAACATTTTCGCTAACATTTTAAAAGATAAAGCCTATATCATGTCATCTTGATTTAGTATTACTTCTAATCCACCTGACTTAGCAGGCTAAGCACAAATATTGCTAGTGTTTTAAGTCCTGGAATGGCTGCATAAGGTTGGACTTGGTCTTTGGACCTAGCAGGTGTTGGTATATACATCAGTATTCTAGCAATAAGATATTAGGCATTGCTCAGGTTCTTTTATCAGCTACATATGTGTATTTAGGTTCTTCTGTATTACTGATCATACTGTTCACTCTAGCTGACAGAATTTGTTCCACTCAGCAAGGGAATAGATTTTCTCTGTAACCTGACGCTATTTTAATGAGTTTTAATCTTCAGCTGCATTTAACACACAACATATCTACAGATATAGATATAGCTATAGATAGACAGAGATGCATTGGGGAGCAGCAATAATACACAATTCACTGCATGTTTGTGTCTCTGCCCTAGTTACTGGCTCATTCCCTCCTTTGCTGCAGGACTTTGATGGGCCTGCCCCAGGGCTTTGCTATGCTTTTCTCTCTTGGCTGAACAAAAAAAAGTAAGAATGTGACTTTGCTTAATCGTTGAATTCTTCTTTGGCTCATTACAGCAATATTATTTAATTGATAAAATATCAAACACAAATATAATTAAGCAGAAATTTTCAGTTCTCAGTGTTAAAGTGGCCAAGAGGATTGCCAAAGAGAAAAGTTATTTGTTCTTTCTAGCTCTAAGCAAAGCACTCCTCTGAGGAAATGTGCTTACCTTTTGCCTGATTCTCTCTGCTCCTTACAAAAAGCCCATACATAGCTAAAGTTTGCCCTCTCTTGGGGCTTTGTTTTACTGAAAACTTTTGGGTTTTACCTCCATGCCCTCAGGTAATTCCTTCTGGTCTGGGTTTCTCAGGCTTCCCACATAGTGGGAACAGCTCTTAGACTGTGATTAAAATATCTCTGTCAAACAATTTTGTGGTGATCAGTTTTTTTCTCTGCAAACATTCTCTATCAAAAACTGCTAGAAATGTGTCTGGACCAAGGCAGGGCTGCAGAGTCCGATCCCTGGAACAGTATACTCTTCTCTCTTGTAGAATTGAAAATTTGCAACAAGGGGCTGGAGACCCATATGAATTCTTGGAATGGCAAAAACAGATGCGTGGGAAAGATTTGGAAGAACAGCTGGCTGAAATAGAGTGTAGGAGGCTTCAAGGGAAACTGAGTCATGAAGAAGCAGTTCTAGCCCGTCAGAATGTAATTCAGGAAAATAAGAAGAAAGCTGATCTCCTGAGAGAAGAGGTAATACATACAGGGGTGCTCAGATTTTGCTTACTTTTCATCAGTGCAAAAAATACCACAGATTACACCTACTATAAGAAGGTGTAAAAGTTCTATGCAGCTCTTTACTCACTGGAGTCTGCAAACAAAAGAAAAATAATGCTATAATTTCCAGATACAGCAATGCTTATACATTAAAGTACTTTTTACAAGTGTTTGATTGATAACATGCATGAAGTAAATTGAATAAAAGCAGGTTAAATTATGCTCCCCTATATTCATGTCATTAGGTATATTCTTTTTAAACAGATACTGAGATTCTAATATCCATTTGCAATGCAATCAACAATATGTGGCTAATTTCCTTATCTTGTTAAAATGAGAGCCACAAATATGAAAGAATTTGTTTTCTTAAACTGATGTAATTCAATTTACTTCACATTATCTGACATGCCAAGATCTCTCTTAGGGGAAAATTCAGCTATAGAACCCTCTTTGTATCCACATATATATATGGAAAATCAAGTATTTATGCCAAGAAATATTTTCACAGTTTCCGATCTGACGAATCACAGTTTCTCAAAAACATTGCTAGATCTTTTCATTACTTTCATGAAATCACACTGTACTTTCCCAGTGCTTTTCCTATAAATTAAACAGGTGATCAAGAATCAACAAATACTGTAGATTTTAAACTTTTCACAGCCATAATCACAGGCTTTTCTTTTCTATTAGTCCAGTTTGTTGCTACACTCTGTAGGCAGCAGTACTTGTCCCTTGGCCCCTCTCACAGATGTCTCTGCAGGGTCTCAGCAACATGAGACCACAAATGCACAAGATTTTCATAAAGGCCATGCTGCAAAAGGGAAGCTTGCTTAATGAGTCCTTTTCTGTCAAAAAGAGATCTTTCAATCCTTTTTTTTGGCATGGAGAGTCTTCGTGTTTGTTTAGACAGACTGTGGCAACAGCTTAAAGTGAACTCTGCCTTGTACAATTAAGCACAGTGTGGTCACTCACACTTGTTCCAAAATTACTAGATTTGTTATATTCACATCAATTTCAGAGTATCTGTGTTTTATTTGTTAACAGAAATGTCCCAGTATGCATAGATTTAGGGATGTGCAAGTAAGACTTGCTCTAACCTGATCAATTCCAGGAACCCTCCTTTGCTTGTCAACAGAGACTGGCAGGGCATTTCATCCCTCTGGAGATCTCCAGATGTACTGAACACCCATTGCCCATTCACCGACAGCTGTCATGCTGAGCCTCCTGCTTTTAAAACTCTACGTTTCCATCTAAAACAGAAAGAATAGAAAGAACTCTAGTCTGGAAAAATCCAGTTTCCTGATTCCTGTTCCTTTCCTCTGACCAAGAAAGGAACATGGTAGCCAAAAGTGCACTTTGTGTTACAGAGCTATGACTTAGGCCCAAGAGGATTCCACAGGGACACAACCAGCTGTATATTAGATTAGGACTCTTCTTGGCATCTACAAGCAGAAATGGCTCTTTTTGTCTGCTCTGAGAAACTTGTGGGAGGGAATCATTGAAAATAGCAGTACAAATGTGATGGAGGGCACTTGTGGGCAAATAAGAGAGGGAAGGTTAAATCCAGGTCTCTATCTTGTCCTCAGCCAATGTCCTTTGCTGCTTTACATCATCCTTGTGGAAATATGCTGTAATAGTTTGAATCCAGTTGTTTTTATTTGAATCCAGTACTGTTTCGATGCTTCTAGGCACACAGATCACCAGTTATCAGGAGTTGTATTCACCTGTTTGTTTGTGATTTAGAAAGCAGACCTGATGCATCAGTGTGCAGAGAAACGTCTACAGGAACAGAAAGAGATGAGAGAGCTGGTGGAGCAGGTCATGGAAGGACACAAGAATGTAAAGCAAGTAAAAACAGAGCTCCAGGAACACAAACGGCAGATAGGTATTTATATATTGCCAGAAAAATGAGAGATGATGCTAAATGTCCCCAAATTACTTCATCTTTCCTTTAGTGGGCCCATTACAATTTTTACAGAAGGGAAAGTGGAGTTGAGGGAAAGATCCAGGCTACACATTCCCATGAATGCATCAGTATGAATTCCAGGAATAAACTGGTAATGGGTAGATCAGAAATTCTAAGCTACTGGTCATGGGAATTGCTCTAAATGGGAGAAATACAGCACTAATGTTCAACAACTAGTTTCCCTTCCATCTAAAAGTAGAACATGTGAATGACTCTATTTTTTTTGTCAAATCAAGTTATGAAACTCAGATTATTGTGATTCATATAATTTTTGCCTGGAAACTGCTGTGAAAGAATCATGGCTCGAGATTATTGTCTTCTCCAGAGA